GGCACCAAGCGTGTCTTTTGGAAACTGCCTTCCCTCAAGGACCGAATTAAGGCCCTTCAGCAGTTGGGGGAGTAGTACATCCTCAAACAACCTGTAGTACGATGCAGGGAACTCATCTGGGCCCGGGGCTTTATTTCGTTTCGATAGTTTGAGAGCCGTGCATAGTTTGTCCAATGATATAGGGGTCTCCAGTTCTTCCACCGAGTCTTGCGTTAGGGTGTTGGCTATGTGGTTGTTCAGATAGTCCTGTATCAGAGTTGTGCATTGCGCGCGCTTGCCTTCCGTGTCACCTATAGATAGGTGATAAAGGTCTGAGTAAAACCGGTGGAATTCATCTTCTCGGGGAGCTGCGTGGTGGTAATCTTAGTAATCTGGGTTAACCGCCTTTGTTTCCGCAGCATTCTGGCTAGAAGGCGGCTGTATTTGTTGGAGTGTTCATTAAAGAACATGTTAGATTTTCAGACTGATAGGGACAGGCAATGTGAGAGAATCCATTATAGGTCTCTACGAGCCACCAGGAGCACTTTGTAGATATCTTTCATTTGGGTGTCCTTATGTTGTTGTTTCAAGATGGTTATTTTGGACGTTCGGCCCTGTGTCAAACTTTTATGTTCTTTTTTTGCAGGGAGTACAGATTTTCAACCGGGAGAACAGTATGGCTACCTCTGCCTTCTTTGCATCTCTATGGTTGGCGAAATAGCCCATCAGGTATCTCGAGTCTTGGAGCATAGGGTGGTCTATTCCACGAAAGTGTGTTTCCTAACCCTACCCCTACTCCTAACCCTACCCATACCTCCAACCCTTGCCCTAACCATACCCCTACCCCTAATCCTACTCCTGACCCCTACACCTAACCAAACCAAACCCAAACCCTTCGAAAATTTGGCACTTCGGCAATTCGGTTCGGCACTTCTGAAATACGGCACTTCCGAAATTCGGACATTGGGAAGTATCCGGATGTCCGAATCGCTGAAATTCGTTTGATTTTAAATTCGGACAAAAATTAATTGCTCATGTCAAGTTTTTATAGAAAAGCTAATAACACCTCCCTACACAAATTGTTCAGGTTAGAATAGGCTAAGTTTAACTAAACCCCGTAATCTATTTGGGCATTAGGTAATTAAACAGCTAATAAAACACTTCACCAATAAATAATAAGCTAAACTCTCAGTCTTGACAGATGCTTATTATTATAATCCCTGTGTAACCACCAATTGGCTCATTGTACTTTGCAAATACATTTTGTACTAAGCAGCATGCTTGAAATTGTACTGTATACACCTCGCATTATATCTGTTTGTACGTTAATTTGTTCATCTTTCAATATATGTAAAATAAATCTAAGATGTAATAAAGAAAATAAATATTAAAAATATATATATATAGGGACGAGGCCTGCGGCCACGCAAGATGGGCGCATCTCAAGTGAGCTCCAGCACTTAAATTGCTACATTGCATGCACACTGCTGTCTATAACCCCCACAGACGACTTTAACTGCCTCGAGGGTGCTTCTGAATCGAGTGGTAATGTCCCTAAGCATGTTCGATATCTCCGGGTGTCCATGCTGACTGAGAGCTGACTTTGAGGCCTTATGTGCCTGGAGGGGTGGGGAAGCAGACGATCTCCGCACCTAATCTGCGTGGCTGTTTAGTGCCCTGTTCCCTCCCCCCCGGACCGGGGGGTGATCCTTGCCCAACCCCTGGAGGTTACCATACCAAGCTGAGGGCACGCTGTGCTGCTGCAACACAAGCAACACTCATTCAGAAGAACCAATATGGCTGACGCTGTGTGTTTCTCCGATCCATCAGAGGATGTTTTGTGATCCTGCATTAAGGGGCTGCTCAAGTCCTAATGGAACGTGGTGAATTATGACTGGGACCTATAGCACCGAGAGACACATCTCACAAACCTACCTGAGGGTCCATGGTGCAAGGCTGTGGGGATAGCGGGAAAACCTTTCTTATCCAGGCCCACAAAGCACAACGACGCTGACAGACACATGACATATATCAGCTGATATAAGCAATGAGCTTGGATGTTCTCTCTCTCTGGCAATGGGTCCTAATGCTACATCTGATATGTATAACCACTAAGCTGCTGCTCTGTTTTTTCCTTCTCTGCATTCAGGGCATCCACTTCTTGTTTAAAATGGGGGCCTCCTGGGGATTTCATTCTTTGACCAAGTTGTTTGACAAATTTTACAGTAACTCACTATTTAGTGAATTTCTTCCCAGTGCATATGGTCTGCTCACCTATCTGTCTTATGTTTCCAAGCCTAGCACTGTGTTAATTTCTTTTTTTTTTATTCTTTATTTTTGTTGTGCATGTTACATAGTTACATAGCTGAATAGAGACTTGCGTCCATCAAGTTCAGCCTTACTCACATTTGTTTTTTGCTGTTAATCCAAAAAAAGGCAAAAAACCCAGTTTGAAGCACAATTTTGCAACAAGCTAGGAAAAAAATTCCTTCTTGACCCCAGAATGGCAGTCAGATTTATCCTTGGATCAAGCAGTTATTACCCTACATTGAAAGATTATATCCTTGAATATTCTGTTTTTGCAAGTATGCATGTAGTAGCTGTCGTTACATAGCATCGACATATGACACAACAGCGTGTTCATAGATTTATTCAAGTTATCCAGTGGCATGATGAGTTGCACATTTTTATAGAGTTATAACAATAACAAGCTTGGCACAAGTAACTTGCACAGGTTATATGAGAAAGGAAAAGCAATACAAGAATTATGCCAGCCAATGATATTTGTTCTTTGACTAGTCTGAGACGTGGACTTGGGGCTGTTAAGTTTAAACAGGTACCTGTGTTAAAGTATTAGACTGAGTTTATACTGGGTCAGCATGTCTAATGTGGTGGGTCACATTGGGGTCTACAGGCTTGCGGTATTATTTCTGCTTTAGTAAGTAAATGTGGGCTTAATCATGCTAAACTCACGTGGAAGGCAGTCATCCTATATGGATTGCTGTGCAGTAACCTGTTTAAGTGGATTTGGTAGTTAGAGGACCCGTCTATTAAGTACTACCGGAGGTACTTAATGGTACATTCTAGTAACATAGTCTCATGCATATCTACAAACATCAAAGGTTAGTTATACTTGCTTAAGGTCAGGATGTCGATGTGTGAGTAAGTGCTTCTCAATCTAAAACAGGGTGTAGACCAGCTTAGTAGTTATAGTAGACATTGCTCAGTGAGAGGTAATGCTGGTCACATGTGGGGCTGTGCATATAATATAACAAGCTTAATGTCCACCGGAGTTTGCTTGATGTCCATGGGTTCAGCGTCAGCGGGCTGCTAGTGGCGGCGTGCTTTCCGGCCTGCTGGGTCTTTCAGTCGCTTGTGCCTCCGACCTGGGTGTGCTAAGGGCTGAGTCACGGCGTGAAAGAGAGTCTGGTGCGTATCACACTGCCAGCCCCGGGCTCTGTATGAGCTGACCGCTGGCGTCCTCGGTTCCAGTACCTTATATGGCCGGCAACGGGATTCCCGGTAAGTGTGTTCCCTCCAGGTTGTGGGCTGCGGTTCAAGGGGTGTCCTCTGAGGGCTCAAGGACCAGGAAGGCTGATGTGACGACCAGGTCCAGACTTTAGGTGCGGTGGCTGAACAATGCAGGCTGATATCGTGGAAGCTCCTGCAGGAGTCCCCGAAGTAGAGGTTAGTTGCTTCTAGGTACGCCAATGATTGCGTATAGCGTGTGTAGCCTGATGTGGGTCTTGGAGTCACCATGTTGGTAGTAGAGCACATCATGTGCCCTGGCGCCGAATGTGTCTCGTAGGGGGTGAGTGGCTGATCTTCGGTCCCCTCCGGTGTGGTGGGGGCCGGGATAACCCCCCAGCCTATGGGGGGGGCGGGGCCTGTGAGGTGTGTCACAGGGCTGCAGTAAGACTGCTAGATTTGCGGGCAGGGCAGATTCCGAAACTTTGTACCAGAAAACTTACGATCTCGGAGTCTACGGTAGCGCCAACCTTCACCCATGCAGTTGAGCGGGCAACTCTGTGCCCTTAGTGTCCTTAGGACCATGATTATTGCTATTTAGATTGGATATAGCAGGAGCCTCGATGACATGCGACCGTCAGGACCCGCCCCCCAGCACTGTGTTAATTTCATATCAGTTACCTTAAAAAAAATTGTACTGTAATCTCAATGCCATGCATATGCTATGCTCTATTGATGTTATTAAGTGTTCTTGCATAGCAAGACCACTTAATGTTATCTCACATATATATTATTAAGTGTTCTTGCATAGCAAGACCACTTAATGTTATCTCACATATATATTATTATTAAGTGTTCTTGCATAGCAAGATCACTTAATGTTATCTCACATATATATTATTATTATTATTATTATAGCAAAATTTGCCACCCTAACTCCTCCCACAGTTTTTACACTACATAGACAAAAATTTACCAAAACGTGCAGATTGTTCCCGATCGGATTGCTATTACTTTGTGGAACGTTTCGCCGAATGGTTCACGGAATATCGTCGTTCTTGTGGCGCAATTTGTCCCATAGGAATGAATGGCAAAGCTAGAGTGGGAGCTGGCAAAAGCTGAAAATCAGGACATGATTTCTAAACTGCCACCACTCCCTCATTTTCAAGCCCACCTACACAAATCTTATATCAAAACGTTCAGCTATCCCTGCTGCCACTAGAAATGTCCACGGCTAAGCCATAGTCCTGATAGATTTCACAATATGACCATTTGTTTGCAACTCATGCCTTCCATTGACATTCATTGAAACTTCACTCACGTCAGCTCAAATTTGAAGGGCAATTTCTAAACTGCGACTGTGCCTTCAATTTTAATACTTCAGAGACATACTATGCATCAAAATGTAGGTCTGGGTCTTGTGATTCTCACAATATAAAGCTCTTCACTGTAGGAGTTATAGTTTTTAAGATACGACCGTTTGAAGATGGCAACCGCCAAAATACTCTGACCTGTGTCAAGCTGCAGCAGCAAGTGATGTCATAGACAGGGCCTTTTGAACACCTGCTAATGTTTTTATAAATGTATGGTTTAATGTAACTGTGCAACAACGTTGCAATTGAATGTGCTATGTAAATGATAACAGTTACTCCGCCCACTCCAGTTGTAGACTACTGGTGGAGGCAAGAACACTTCACACAATTTCACCAGAAATTGTAGCTTTTCAGTTATTATTATTATTCTTATTCTTATTATAGCAAAATTTGCCACCCTAACTCCTCCCACAGTTTTACACTACATAGACCAAAATTTACCAAAACGTGCAGATTGTTCCCGATCGGAT